ATGAGTTGTCTTTTCACTTCCTTCATGATGTATGTCCTTTGAAGCAAAAAAGTCTAATTTTGACAAAGTCCTATTTATCTATTTTTAAATTTTGTGCTTTTGCTTGTGGTGTCATATGGTTTGTGCCTTTTTAATTGTGATGTTTTATTTTGCTTGCTTTATAGCAAGAGAAACATTGCTTGTGATGATGGGAATTACAGAATCTGACCAGAGAGCATTAGCTCCTCCCTGAAGAATCATCAGATGTTGCTAAGAAAGGGGACCATCACAGCTAATACATACTACCTAATGGCTTCGTGCCTGAAACTATGCACAGGTCTGAAAATATTGTGGTTGCATATTTTTGAGAACCTAATATGGAATAAGTATTGCTGGAAAAATCAGACACAGACTTTGTCCTTATGAACTCACAATACTAGATGAGAGACCAACAATAGGCAGAATCACATAAGTAAACATAAAATGACCACTGAGATTAGTGCTGTGAAAAGGTACCCAGTGCTATGAGAGCTTATTACAAGGAGATTTGTCCTATTCTGAAGGTGGGCATCATGGAAGACTTCCCCAAAGTGGCGCTTGAACTGAGATCTTCAGGAAGACACTGAAGTATTTGTTGGGAAGAGCTTGGGAAAGAACAATCCAAGAAAAGGGAACAACAAATTCAAAATCCTTGAGGCAGGAAAGAAACAATGTATTTTTTATAATAAATTTTATTAATTGTCAGGAAATCTGTGTTTGATGCGTGGATCTGGGGAAATTCCGCTGATGTAAACTAAGACACATACTTTGCAAAATAATCTTTATCTGAGACAATTACTGAACTTTAAATTGTATTTAGATATGAAACCTTAGGAACCATAACATATTTAGCAAACATTTATCAAATAAATTCTTGCTGGTGTTGAGATAAGGAAGAGTAAAAGTGCAAGGAGTTGAGCCCAGAGAGATGGGAGGAGCTGGATCAAGCACAGCTTTGGAGCAGTTGGGAGATTTTCCCAAGAGCAATCAAAAGTAGCCGCTAGAAGGTTAATAAGAACGGAAGTAACAATGATAGGTTTTATGTTTGCAAAGTAGAGGGAACTCTATAGGAAGAATAGTTGGTGGGGAGCAGGTAGGAACATGATAGTGATGATGGTGATGGTGGTGATGATGGTGATGATGGTGATGATGGTGATGATGGGGAGAAGGGACATAGCATATTATGTTTCATTCAGCTGGTGGTAGGTGCTCACCTAGCCCCTCCTCCTCCTGTCCTGGGACCCAACCCCTGGGCTTGTTCTCCCCTCCCCATCCCAAGAGGGCAATGAGGGTTACTCAAGCCCCTGGGTTTACTAGTATGTGCCTTCTGGGTCCTCAGTGGCCACTGCTTCCCGCTGTTGATCTTGGCTCCTAAAGAGGTCTTTTTCTTCAGTGAGTGGGTCTGAAGAATGATGGAGCCCTCACTAATCTGCTCCTGCTCCTGCTTGCTGAAGAGGGCACTTGGCCGAAGAGGCTGGTGTTACTCTAGTGCACTTGTCCTACTTGCTTTCACTGTCCAGGCTGAGGAAAGCTGAAGGATTACTGCTCCTGTGGCTCCCTGCTCCCCCCTTGCCCCAAAACAAATGAAGGGAAAGCTGGAACTTTTCTTTCACAAGGAGACACATTTTTCTGTCTTTGTGATAGGGAGGGAATATATTTTTTAAATGCCTTTTCTGGTGATAACAGAAATATAATCTTATCAGAGAAAATTGAAAAGTGCAAGAATATATAAGGAAGACTAACCAGTATTCATATTACTACCCTGAATTTTTGCATAGTTTTTAGTCATACCTACTTATTTTTAAATAGGTCATACATACTGAATATACTTTTGTGTATCTCACTCTTTTCACTTTGTGGTTTAAGCATTTCCCTATGTCATTAAAATCTCTCCACACACAATTTTTAATCTGCAAAGTAGTCTTTTTTGAAAACAATATTTTGCATAATGTTTTCCTATTTGGGTTGTATGTAACTTTTACCATTATAGGGAGGTCTGTGATGAGTGTCTTTGTTTGTAAATCTCTTCCTTCATTTTGGGTGGCCTCTTCCCCTCTGAATATCTAGAAGGGGGGTTAGTAAGCGGAATTGTGTAGACCTGACAGGAAAGAAAATCTCTACGTAGGATAATTCCCACCAAACGGTAACTCTGCTCCTGTTAGTGGAAAGATAAAAGATAGGGGCTGGTGTTTTCCACTCTGTAAGACCCTATGCTCCCCACATCACTTCATTGTTCACCAAGCGGTGGCTACTAGGTGTCTGTGTTAGGAATTATCTCTTTTCTTCAGAGACCTGCGGGATTGCGAGCTTGAGAGGCAACTAAAACTGGATTTCATCCATTTCTCTTCATCTTGTGGTGCAACAGAAAGCCCTCCATGCCTGTGCTGCCATAGAGCCAGCTAAGCAACCTTGAGCATTGCCATTTTTTTCCTTAGGGGCCAGTTTCTTCATATGTACAACAAGGGAGAGGAGTGTTTGGGTGTCACCAGATTTTGTTATTGTTGATACTTAAGCAGCAGAACCCTTATTTCAAATTAAAAACCTTACAAGAACCCTAATCTGTAAAAGAGATTAAGGAGCAGTTCAGTTGTCCTGGTAGAAGTGTGTAAGGAAGTGTGTGTGTGTGTGTGTGTGTGTGTGTGTGTGTGTGTACACGCACGCGCTCTGATTTGAAAACTTTGGCCTAGAGGATAGAAGTTTCACCCCAGTTCAGTTCATTTCCTTTCCCTATTGCTAAAGTTTTTTTAAAAAAATTGTCTTTCATCTATATTTAAATCCTCCAAATGTGCTGATTGATGAAATCTTTTCTCTTACAGACAATTTGGAAATCAGACAAAGTGGAGCACAAAGCCATGGATGTTTAGAGAGGGAGTGAGCAGTATGTGAAAGGGTGACCCTGGCACTTCTAAGAAGGCAACCACACAATGGACTCTTCCAAAGAAGCAGTGTCAGTTTATCCCGGTCGCCACCGCCCCCTCAGTGGGTTGGAATTGCTTGTTTTCACCCTCCCTTTCCTGGACTCATTTCAAATCAAACTTGTGTCCACAGTTGCTAGAAATTTGAACCCAGAGTAACTTACAAACAGGTACTTTATTGAGACCCAAACACTGTGAAAGATGAATAAGGGAGTGAATATGACAAGAGTTTCCTCCAGACCCTGGAACACTGGAGTACGGGGAGGAGGTTGAGGCTCAGCATCCTGACAATCTGTTCAGTTAACTCCAATCTAGCCAGCACGGACCAGCCTGGAGGGACCCAGGTCTGTGGGAAAAGAGGGAGTAGAGCAGACGCCTTGCCTGAGCTCAGCAGGGACACAGCAGGCCAGGAAGGAGCTTTGGGGTGGAGGGCAATGGGCTGTAATCTGTAATTCACCTACAGGAGCCCTCCCACCCCTTGCTGCACAGTGTGAGGTGGGGTGCTATAGGTGAGGGGAAGAAGGTGCCAGTGTCCTCTGAGGAGGGATGGCGCTACTTTTCCTGGGAGACCGGACTTCGGACTTCTCTCTTGGAGGCATAGTAAGCTTAGTCTTCAGGATCCTCAGTGATGTGTAAAAAGCTGGAACGACCCCTGAAGTTGTTGAAAGCCCCTACCCCTCCCCCTGAAACCCGCCCCAGCCAGCAGGTGAAAGGCTGGCCCGCACAAAGAAGCCGGTTGAAAATGTGGAATTCGAACCAATTTACGGGAGATTCTGTCGCCCAGATTCCCAGCAGACCTCAAGCAAACAAACCTGTGGCCAGAAGTAGATGAGGTTAAAAACAGTGCACCAGGCCAAGCTTATTGGAAAGTCCTAGTTTAGTTATACTGGGATAGCGAAGTAACAGGATTAAAGGGATTAAGGAAATCACCTCAAACAGCTGAGAAGGCAGTAAAAAAACACTGGTTCTATTTGTTTTCTTCCTAGACTCCATACAGATACACTGGGGCCGTGTGGCCAGAGCGAAACGAAAGGGCTTTCAGGGGACACAGAGGCATGGCCAAGGGTCAGGGATTGGGGGAAGTCGGTGGGGGAGGAGTAGAAAGTGGGTTCCAGGTTTGGAATGAGAGGGAGCCTCTTTTAGAAAATAAGTATGTGGACTGGGTTGACAAGTCAAAAAGAAAAAGCCATTCAGAGTTTTAGAGATCCTTGTGTTTTGTTTTGTTTTGTTTTGGGTTTTTTTTAGAGAGATCTAACATGCACTTTGCAAAACCAAACCTTATGTTCTTTGAATGCCGGTTCTCCAGCTTCTGCCACCACGGTTGAAATATATTTATTTCCTCATAGGGATTCCTGTAATCTATTTATTTCTAATAAGATAATTGAGATTTCTGAAGGGTTTTCGTTTTCAGTTTGGCTCTAGTGTCTTCCCGCCCCAGTGCACAAAGGTAAAGGTACCCCTTTTTTTGCTGGTTCCATTGGCCTTTCAGAGCTATCAACAAGTGCGTGGCCGCGGGAGGTTCGCTTTAGACAAACTACTTTCTCCTCAGAGTTTCAGTTGAAAATATTGGCAGCCGCTGTGTTTTGGTTTACCAGTAGTTAAAAAATAAACCATTTCAGATCACTCATCGTCCCCCAGGTGCCTCCCACCCCCAGGACAGGACCACGGTTGTAATATCCACACTGCACCTAAAGTTTCAGGCTCACAAAATTATCAGGACTCCATTATGTTGGTTATAAAATTTATTGATCTCTCATTTAAGAATTAAGAGTAAACCCTTGAAAAACATGAAACAAAATAGCCCCTTCCCCACAATACAAACGAAATCTGAAAACATTATCGCGACAAAGTATCAAATATTGATCACGGCAGAAATCACAACGCAACAAACTAAATGCGGACTGGACAAGCTGCCTGTGGCCAAGGACTGCGATGCGGGAGACACACGCACACCTGGCTATAAATTAACATTGGATTTAGCTGCGGCGCCCCTCCGCGTGGTCAGCCCCCCAAAAGCCCAGGAGGAAAACGGATTCAACGCGACTGGAGGAGGGGAGGTTGCAGGTTTCAGGTCAGCTTCACCCGCGAGTACGAGTACAGTTTCTCCCATTCACTCACTCCATGACTAACAGCAAACTAAGGAGACAACATTTTCAAATGCAACCAGAAAACCCGGGAACCCCGGAGGATGAGGGGGGGCTGCTTTTCCTTTGCGAACATCACAGCAATTCCAGCCTACAAAAGGGGAGGAAAGGGCAGTCGAGCTCTAGAAAGTCCTAGCTTAGCTGCTCCGGACTTCTTTTGCTTTTGTACAAAACCGGACAGCTATGGCAAAACTTTCTGTCCTCCCCTTCACAGGTACAAGGCAACAGACCCAGGCAAGCAAAGCTAAACAACAAGGCGTCCCAACTCGGGGGGGTGCGGGGTGGGGTGGGGGTGTTTGTACAGAATCAGCCTTCAGCAATTTCGCTAACCTCAACAACTGGGAAAACCTACCCTCTGCAGCATCTCTTGACATGAAGACTTAGAAACTTTTATTGTTGAAATAAAATGTGTTTTACCTGGCTGATGCCTGAAAGATTTATGTCCAGATCGTGCTTGTGGTTTTGAAGACAAACACTAAGAATAAATTTGTTAGTAAATATTTTGAACAGATGCTAAGTTTTTAATTACTTTGTGCATTAAAAAATGACAGCCATCGATATTCCCCACTGATGAGCTACAAACATTGTGTGTGCATGGGTATGTATATTTTTTAATAGCAATTATTGCTCTGTGATGACGGGGGAAATTGCTCTGAGGTTTAAAAGCGTATTTGCAGCTATACCCAGGGGATTGTGGCAAGTAATGCCTACTGTATCATCCACCTTATTTAAAATTTGCAATAAGAAACACAATTCAATCTAGCACATTTCTAAAGGCCAATGGGAAATAGATTGGGCAGCAGAAAGACA